CAAACGGAGACGTAACAATATATTTGGCAATAATTTTTCAAAATCATAATATAGTTGTGTTACGTCTCCGATTGTTAATTAACTTTCCGTAACTTCGTTCCGACGAAATTTTAACGACACAAGTCTTTACTTAATAAAACTGGTTTATTCTTTCCGAATATAACTCTGCGATACACTCAACTTCAACAATCGCGCTAAACAAACGCTGTAACGTCTCTCGTGCTCTCTGACTGCAGTTCAATTACTCACTGTCTATACACACATTACAATATCCTCGCGTCACGTTGTCCCCTCTTATATATACCCGCCTACCCTATCTAGTAAATACTAGAGCATTCATGAAAAAACAAAATAGTTCTAGAAAATAGAGGGCGCCACATCAGTCACGTGACCTCGATGACGCAACAATATCATGAAGCCGTGATACGATTGTATCGATACATCGTCCGATACGATACGATTTATGTATCTTCACGAAATTTGGCAAGCTTTCAGTAAACAATCTGAGGGTCGCGTCCCACCAAACATGCTCGCCCTTTCAGCCGTGGGGGCATTATAACGTGACAGTAAACCCACTATTCGTTGGTAAAAAGAGTAGCTCAAGAGTTGGCAGTGGGTGGTGATGACTAGCTGCCTTCCCTCTAGTCTTACACTGCTAAATTAGGGACGCGAAATTCAAAAACAAACAATCTAATACAATATTGTTGCTAGAAATTAATGATTCAATAAAGGAAGATGAGTATTGAGTACTACATGTTGTCTTCGTTTCTTTTATCAAAAACATTATATGCAAAGTAACATAACAAATTAACAGTAACAAGAAAAGTAGCTTGAGCATGATCAATTCTAAAAAATACAAAATAGAACTAGTAAAAGTTTAGAAAAAAGTTGACGTTTTGGCCAAACGACTGGCGCCATTAGAGATTATTTGGCCGAAAGCGTGATTTGTTGTTGTTTTTACTCTTTCAGAGATTTTAAACATCTTTTAATATTCTGGAACTTTCTGAAGTGATCTGGAAGCCAAAACTCCCACGCACAGCTTGCTCGGTTAGGAGTCTGGTAAAATGTGAAACGTATTTCACTATCACCTAGAAATCTGATAGGTTTAGGGATCACAAGATAAAGTGATACTTTGACTGGTCTCTCAACGAAGCTACAGCAAAGGTAACTTGTAAAAGCAAAAACACAACTGATTTCTTAAAAAGAAAATGTATTTAAAACTAAAGAACAACAGAAGATTTCGTAAAATTTGTACATTGGTGTTTACTTTGCCAGCGGTTGAGAGCATGCAAAACATAAAAGCATTGAAATACTTAAATCCACAAACGAAAACGTTTTATAATACACAATTAAAATCGTTTATTTAAACCAATCAACGATTTTAAAAGTCACTCTATATGAAACCACGTTGAAACATTAAGATTTGTATTTTGAGTATGAAATAGTTTTTTTACTTACCTTAGTTGTATATTACGACTGTTTAATCTGGTGGATGGCTGATTTTTATAGGTTTGCGCTCGTGTAGAAAAGACGTAACCACATTTTCTAATTAAAAAAAAAGGTATGTGCAAACCGTTCTTTCAGTTACAAAATCCTTTACTTCCACTAAACGTGACTTAGCAAGGAATTTTTTCACCAGATATGCATTACTTTGCAGGAAGCATGCTTTAGACCGTTCACACCAACTTGACAAGACTAAAGCCGGGAAATATGTAAGAAGAATACGTATTACCATTTATTATGTTATGAAAATTGTAATCTCCGTTTTCGTTCTAACATTCCACTCACTAAATAAGCATAAAACAATACGTTAACACTATTGCGAAATGCAAGTTGGGATTTTGCTGGTTAACGAATATTTTGATTTGGTAATGCTTTCCGAACGTGCACATGATTCGGAAGACAAAACAATTACTGAACCAAAAGACAGTTAAAGTTAGACACTGAGGCTGTGCAATTTTTTTTCACTGTTTTGTAACTAACACTCAATCATTCTTATAAAAGCAAACTCCGATTATTTGTATTCGACTCTATGATATATCTGAAACGGAAGTTTTATGTCATAATGCTTCTACTTAATCAAATTCTTATCCTCTGAATGTTTTATGTATACAATAATGTTAGCTTTTGTTTCTCTCATAACCTATTAGTATAGAACTGGAGTTTAAATTCTAAACCCGAACAAAGGATTTCTATGTTTATACAATTCATATTTTGACTTCTTAATATTTGTAACTATGATCATCAATCTGAACGGCTCAATACATTTTAAAATGTCTGAACTTGCAAATTTTTCACCATTAGTGATATCAACCGAAGTTAATCGTTCCTAATTTGGAAGTACTAAATATAGAGAGGGCAAAGCTTCATTGAACTATCTGCCGAGTCCACCGTGAGAATTGAACCTCGGATTTTAGCATTACTAGTCCGTAGACCTTCCGCTGTCCCACCGGGGAACAGACAGTCAGTGAAAAGCACCAGCCAGTATAAGGGCTGTGTCTGATTTTTTAAATTGAATATCCAAGATTGACTGTCGCTCTTATAACGAACCTACAGCTGAAAATGCTCACCGAAATCAGTGGTATCATGACTCCATCATTGAACTATTTGGTCCGCAGCCGGGCACGCTAATCACTAAACCACCCTCGGACCCACTTTACAGTTTTTGTTTTTTGAAATTAAGCACAAACCTACACAATGGGCTATCTGTGCTCTGCCCACCACGGGTATCGAAACCCGGATTCTAGCGTTGTAAGTCCGCAGACATACCGCTGTGCCACTGGAGGGGGCCTCCCTTTATAGAAACACTGATATTTCTGAAAAAAAAAAAAATACCAGGTTAGTGTGTTTCAAGTCTTTTATCGTGAATATATTAAACGTAAAAAACGAAAGGTAACCTAAAAACA